TTTCCCTTATTTTTTCGTTCTCTTTATGTCTCCTTTTTCTATTTTATTTTTCTCCTTTTTCTTTTTTCTCCTATCCCCTTTAGCTTTCTTTCAAACTCAACATAAAAATTATTAATAAATTTTTAATTATTAAATATTTAAAAATAATTTTAAAATTATTAAATATTATTTAATATCAATTTTAAAACTATCAAATATTTAAGAATTGACTAATGTTTATTTTTATAAAATTTAATCTAAAAATTCCAATATATGTAAAAAATCATCATGGTTAAAATTAAATCACTATATTTAAACTAAAAATTTAAAATTAAAAAAATTATAATTAACTTATCTAAATAAAATATTTAAAAAGTGATTCAAATTCTAAAAAATTCAAATTTCTTAAAATTTTAAAATTCTTTATCCAAACACATTTTATAATTTCTTCGACCCTCAATTATTATCTTGCTTCAATGGTGAAGTAACCCCTTTCATACAGACTATTAACCTTCTGTCTTTGATAAATATGTTGTCAAAAGAGTGCATATTTAGGTCCTTAGCATTTTCATGGAATCACAATACCACTTATGTGTGTAGGGCATCTAGGATAGGTTGTTGAATCATTAAATGGTTATTCACTTCTCTTCATCTAATTAATAACTTATTTTTAAGAGTAACATGTTAACTAATAAAGTTCAATCCCTATTGGCAAATTAATTGTAAATAACTAAGTTAAATTTCAACACATATTGAGATATATATGACGTATATACATTATACATAAATTGGACAAGAGAGTGAAAATGGATAAAGATGAAAGATCAAGGATGAAAACGTGAAAGAAAAAGAAAATAAAAATAAAGGAAGATGGGGATGATATATTTGAGGAAGAAGAAAGAACAGAATTTTAGTAAAAAAGTTGTAAAATTAAAAATGTAAAAAATGGATAAGTTGAATGAAAATAAGGGGGAAAATAAGAGAGGCAGAGATGAAAGAGAAAGGTATAGAACAACAAGAAGATCAAATCCTGAGATGCACATGGACTATCAGACACAGACGAAGACTGCCATGCACGTATTTGAAGAATCAAGTCTCAAGGGACAAATCAGGCATCGTCTACCACCATACAAAAGCTCAACATGATCACGTGATTAAAGGAATAGACAAAGAAGAAGAAAAACACACCAAAAGTAAAAGCATGCATGTGTCAGAAAAAGTACATTACTTTTTTAAATAAGGACAACACTCTACAACTACGCGACCAGAAAAGGACAAGTTCCTAGGTCTCAGCTAAAGTCAGACACTGCTGCTAACAAATGTAGAAGACTTCACGCAATGTTTATAAACAGGAAACAACATTTAATGCAAGATCTAATGCATTAAATGAGAAGATCGAACTAGTCATGAATGACTACATCCTGCTACAACGGACACGTGTAATGGAAAAATTTTATAAGATTATATATACGTCATGACTTCAAACCTGGAAAGGTTGGCAAAGAGTGATACCAAGCCCACGAAGCAATGAAACTAGAGACAGAGTGTATACAGTAAAATGTACTGTAGTGTATTTATCTCTATAGACTAAGGAGTTCTAAGTGTAACTTAGGAACATGCACCTTAGTGAGTGTAGCAAATTCTTGTATCCTCTCTGTGAGAGTAAACCAAACACTCAAACCAAATCATCTATCTATCATTTGTAAAGCCTGAAGAGGCTAGGGAAAAAATACTTGTAAAAGCCTGGAAAGGCTTGTTAAAGAATCCTCATTGCAAGCCAGAAGTGGCTGAACAAAGAATACTAGCGCTAATGAGTGAAGTTAGTGGGCTAAGAGTGGTCGACAATCCACACTACAAGTTAGAAGTGGCTGAACAAAGAATACTAGCGCTAATGAGTGAAGTTAGCGGGCCAGGAGTGGTCGACAATCCTCACTAAGAGCCTAAAGAGGATGAACAAAGAATACTAGAGCTAGTGAGTGAAGTTAGCCAACCAAAAGTGGTTGAGAATACCTAGGACCAGGAGTGGTCGAGAATACTCACTACGAGCCTGAAGAGGCTGATTAAAGAATACTAGAGCTAGTGAGTGAAGCTAGCCAACCAAGAGTGGTTGAGAATACTCAGCACCAGGAGTGGTCGAGAATACTCACTACGAGCCTTAAGAGGCTAATTAAAGAATACTAGAGCTAATGAGTGAAGTTATCCAACCAGGAGTTGTTGAGAATACTCGGGACCAGGAGTAGTCGAGAATACTCACTGCAAGCCTGAAAAGGATGAACAAATAATACTTGTACTTCATTGAATATCTAGTGGAACCCTTCATTTGAAGGAGACTGGACGTATCTCAGATCAGTCTGAGCAAACCAGTATAAAAATCTGTGCACTACTTATTTATGTTACAGATGGCAGGTCGGGGAGTCGGTGCCCTAGGCACGGTTGGGGGTTGAGAGACCGAGTGCCCCTCCTCTTCGTGTTGACTACTCGGTTGAGGGGGCTGATCAAAAGGTCGCCGAGGAAGTTGGGCGTGAATACGCTCGTTCTCGGCGCGCAGCGCCGCTAGGTCAGCCTCATTCGCGGTACGCAGCGCCGCTAGGTCAGTTTCGTGCTTGGCACAGATGTTTTGCAGATTGGCGGTGTGTTGCTGCCGCATCTACTCGACCTGTTCGATCAGTCTTCTCAATGCTGCTTTTATATATATATATATATATATATTATTTGCAAAGATAAATCATTATCACACATGTCTTCACTAATATGCATTTATCACTATAATATAAGAAAGGATATATATGTAGATGTGTTTCCATTTTTATATAACATATATGCATGTGATCAATGTTTTGCTTAGTTTGTAAAATTGAATGGGTTGAGCAAAAAGTTTCGAAATCAAACTTCTGGTTAGACATATATTTGCACACACATGTGTGTGTACATGATTTGAATTAATCTTGATCATACACATACATGGATGAATCAGGAATATTTTTCTTAAATTTAATTTTAATAATATACTTTTTCTTTTATTTATCACTTTGTTCATTTGATTAGGTGGGATTAATATTAGAAGAAGCAACTTCACACATTCAAGGGCAAAATTTGGCCCCAAGAAGATGCTATAATTCGTTTACTCAAACTCTAAACGAGAATTCACCTATGTAAGTTTTTTTGTTGTTTTTGTCATTATATGAATATCATAACAAGATTTTTGCTTATATATATATATAGAAGACATGTTATATCCTTCCTGTTTTATTGTTGAACTTATGTATAATATATGTATTACATTTCTATGTTGTACATAGGATTCAAGGCTTGGATACATTAAATGAATACAACACAAGTAGTCAGATATTGAAGCCAAATATCATGGGAAACAATACTTTGAGTGACATCAATCATCAATCATCTTCGAATCAAATGAACCCGGCCGTGAGTAAAATTATTTAAAATATTGTTCTACAAATAATTATGTCATTTGAAAAAGGTGAATATAAAGTACAACTCGTATATTAGTTTATGTAATATACAAATTAAATATTTATTATATGTAATTAAAGTTTATAATAAATTATATATAATTAAATATTTAAATCATATTTAAAATTTGTTTAAATAAATATTTTTAAATATATAAATTATATTTTAATTTTTTGATAAATAATTTAAATTATAGTATAATATTATTTTATTTATTAATAATTTTTTAAATTATTAAAATTTAATTTACAAATAATGATGATAATAAAAATTGAATTAGATAAAAAAAATTAAAAAGATCTCTAAAAACTCTTTCGTTAAAGAAATTTTCTTAAAAATATTCTCATAAAATATAAAAATTTGTGTGTAATATATAAGAATTAATAATAAAGATCGAGTTGAGTTTTCTTCCTAAATTTTAAATATTTTTTTCTAAAGAACAAAATTAGGTTAAACAAGTGCCGATGCAGACTCAGACATTAGTTTATGAAAGTTGTTATTGAATTCAGATATTTTAAAGCACACAATTCTCAATCTAAAAAACTTCTGAAAGAGATAAAAATGATTAAAAATAAGACATCAAAAATACATATTGATTTATCCCTACAAACTCAAGGTTATGTGTAGTCTTTGGTGAATAAGTCAAGAATTTTCACTATTAACAATCTTTTTTTATTTAGAAATATTTTTTCATTTCTCAAGTATTTTTTTTTGTACAATTCTCTCTTGACTCTTATACGTAAGTATTCTACTTTTGTTTCTAAACATCTTCGTGTTTCACACTCATGAAACTTAAATTAAAAAAAAAAATAATGTTATCTTAAAGATTTACAATAAATAGTCATTAATTAATAATTATGATTATAAAGAATAACACTTTTAAATTCTACAAAGACTAAGAGTGAGTACTTTCAAAGAATGTATATGAATAAATATGAGCCAGCTTAACCACTTTAAATTCTTTTTGTATGAATATTTATATATTACTTGACATATATTTCTAGTCGTTGGATATAAAACTTAAAAAGTTCTTCTGAATATATGTTGTCATTGAAGTCATGAATTTACTACAGACAAATGTTGTTTCTAGTTTCATGAAAAAATACATTTTTTTTCTAATATAAAAGTTATCTCATTTTTCTCCATAGTCATATAGGAGAAAATTTATGTTTTGAACTTAATAGTAAGATATGTTTACTAAAATTCCATCTAATCCCATCTTTTTTTGAATAACAAAATCTCATATTATATATTTTTTTTCTTTTAAATTACTTACACAAGAAGTCAAGAATGATGATCTTATCATACTTTTCAATGATGGTCAATGTTCAAACTCTTAAGTCCAAACAATATACACGGTCTTAAAAAAATATTTCAATTTGGTATTGATCTATGCTAAGATTTCGCTACACCACTTCATTTAAATGTTAATGCTTTACTGTGGATCATTTTTTTACGTTTTGATCAACTTGGACTTAAAACCACATTAATGCATTATTCTTTGTTAGTGATGTTGATATTCCACATATTTTTCATCATAAGCAGGTGCAGGAAAGAGGGAGAATTGACATGAGAGTTCCAAATAATCAAATCATGACTAGTGAAAGTTTTACATTGCCACCTTTTCAAAATGATCAAATTGTTAACTCTCACAATGAATGGAACTCTGGGTGGTATGTGGTGAATAATGCAATACTTTTATGCATCTTTTTATAATAAGTTATGTCTGTGTGCTTTTTAATATCTTGATAATGACATTTACATGAATGTGTTTTTTGAATTGTAGGCCCGAAAACAACCGATTCTCAAGTGTTGGTGTTAATGATTCACAATACAACCCTAATTACAAGCAGTATGATTCCTCTACTTATATGAAATACATTATGTTAATGATTAATTAATTAATTAATTAATTAATTAATTAATTAATAAACAAGTAATGCATATATAAACTTGTTTTAAGTTACATCGACAATTCACTACTTTACTACATAAAAACTATCCACACCTTGTACTAACCGAGAAAATTTTAATTTACAATATCAACTTTTAATTTTATTTCCTATTTACCAAATTAATCCCAAGTATTATTCAAGTATATGTCGAATTCTTTTATTAAATTAAACATGCTACATTTTTTTTTTATCATGGCCAAATTGGAAAATTAAACTTAACCTAACATGCTAAGAATTTTGCTATTATTTTACACTACAAGCATATTCACATAAGCCTACTTTTTTCATTGCTAAAATACTACCAAATCTTCATGATACCAAATCATTAGCTTCAAATATTTGATTTTAACATGCAACTTTTTGGATATTACAATTCATCAAGTTACATTATTTTGTCATTGTAGGTATACAGAAATATATAATCAAGTTGTTGACTCTGTTCAACTCTCCAGGTAAACATCTTTTAATGGTAACTATTACTCTTTCACATAAAGCAAACTCTAGCTTTTTCATACCAATTGTATATTCGCAATGCCTTAATTTGAAAATCCCATCATTTACTATCTATGTCTAGGCATGACAATCTAACCTGCCCCGTGAGTACCTGTCTGAACCCGCTCCAATTTGGATGGGGAAAACCCGTGTTTATCGGGTTCGGGTTTTCCCCGATTGATAAAATCGGGGGCGTGGGCGGGAGCGGGGATGTTAATACCCACCCCGTACCCGCCCCCGCCCCGCTTAATAATATAATTAAAAAATTATTTTTATATATATATAAACCAAAATTATAAATATTTATATGTAAAAATTTATATTATTTTACTTTTCTTTTATTTTTTTTTAAATTGTTAATATTTATTTAAAAGAAAAAAGAAGAAAAAAAAATAGGAGCGGGAGCGGGGGCGAGGCGGGGATACCCGAACCTCGCCGGGGACGAGGATGGGGACCTAGATTTTATCCCCGACGGGTATCGGGGGCGGGGGCGGGGGCGGTTTAAATTTGCGGGGCGAGAGCGGGGAACGTAAAACCTGCCCCCGCCCCGCCCCGTTGCCATGCCTATCTATGTCTAAATGTAATTTCGCAATACTTAAGGTCCATTAATTTTAGATTTTTGGTATAATTGATTTTAAAAAGCTAATGTTGAAAGGAATGTTGGAAAAATAAACTTCACACATAATATTTGAAAAATGGCTTATCATGATTAATTTTATTTGGACGAAATAGAATCATTTTTAAATTATAAATATAGATATATTTTCTATATCTTATATCTAATATCGATTCTATTAAAAATAAAAGTTAAAATGCACTAGTAATTCATTTATTTTCAAAAGTAAGTCCTTGTAAATGATGCCAAATTAGAGAGACGTGAATACAATCTACTATTGTATGACCACTTTGCATTGACCTAAAAATTTGTCCATGCTATTATGTTTGCAAATACTAAAATTAAGGATTTTGAACTTTCTAGTACCATAACTTATATATGAACGAACAAAGTTTCACTAGCATATAATTTTGGACTTATTAACTTATAAGGTAGGGGACAAGTTATGCTTCTTAATTACTCAATACAGAACATACGATTTTTACTCCTTTGCTTAATTTTTTTTAATAACAAATCCAAATATTAGAAGACTTTTGTTGATGTGTAAAACCCTTTCTTTCTTTTTAATTCAACTGTTTTAGTTTTAGGTTTTCAAATCCAACCAAATCGGCAAAGTTAAGTTAATAGAAGATGACTCTACCATAGTCATCACCATGAACTCTACTTTTATATCATTAGTATAAATATTGTGTGTTATGAGATTAAAATTGTTTAATCCAATGCATCAATTATCTTATTTAGCAACAATGAAATAAAGTTATTTTTCTAGGAGATAAAATGATTCATTTATATTTTTCACATGGGTTCTTTGTACATATTTTTTAATTCATAAATTTTGTCCAATTGGATATCAAGTAAATAATTTATCACCTCATTGTATATTTCTATATATGGTACAAAGTAAAAATTCTCCTCCTAAATATCTTGAATTATATTAAAAATGTCTTTTAAAATTAGATACGCCAGAATTTAAGTTTAAGACTTAACTCAACCCTTCAAACTAATTTATAGAATGAAAAATTTTTAAGCTTTATAAGTACTACTTTAACTACATCTCTAATCGATATATAACTAAACAAAATTTATTAAAATTATGATAATTTCAAAGATTTCACACAATTAAAGTGACTTTTCAATATGATATTTGAGTCTCATTATGCCTTAAAATATTTATATGAGATAATTAAGTTTTGACATATTTTGAAAGGAATTCTTACTTGATTGTAGGTAACCAAGTATCATTTAAAATAATATAGTTATAGTAGAGTAATGTGTAATAGATTTTAAAATTTTATTTCATAGCTTTTTCCATTAAAGGATTTTTTTCTACTTATTGTTTGCCTATAGCCATTAGCACTAAAATAAATAATTTCTGAAAATTAAGTTATGGATAATTTTTTTTTTTTATAATTAAGTTAACATTATAAGGAATTAAGTTACTTTGAGTAATAGACTATTGTTATAAAAAAGTACTTTAAAGAAAAGTGTTAAAGTAGTACCTTATTTTTAGTAGACTATTATCATAGAAAAGTACTTTAAAGAAAAGTGTTAAAGTGGTACCTTATTTTCAGAAAATTTTAAAATAGTAAATAACTTGATCCCTATTGTTAATAATGCTTTCATATGTGTACGTTAATTAATCTTTTTTTTTTGTAATAATGTTATTGTTAATTGTTTCCTTGCATATTAAATGCGAAGTGGTAGTACTGTTCTGTTCTTGGTCTTGATGTGTAATCTTTATTATTGTTATTGCAAACTTGTCATATAATATTTCTATAATTTCCTTGTATTGTTTCCCGTGTCCCCAATATTCCTTTTCTCCATATAGATTAATTCATAATATTGTAGCATGTAGTGCAAGGTTGATAAAAAAAAAACCAACATGGTCCATTTTTGACAAATGAGTGCATTTTTTTAATACGAACGTAACCTTTTAATCATGTGTGATTTTAGCTAAATTTTATTGTTTCAGGGGGATAAAATGACATTTTTCTCCTTTTATCATAAGTTTAGGGGTGTTTTTTTTTTTTTTTTTTTTACAATTTTTATTATGCAAAGACTTATCTTTTTTTATTTTTATTTTGTTATTAAGGATGGATCTACTTATTTCAAGAATAAGTCTACTTAAACTTACTTTGCTCAATAACTTATATTTTACATTAAATTTTAACGATTTAATTAACGAATTAAAATTTATTACATAAATTAAGTCTATAAAATTTTTAAAAATTTGAAATCTACTTATACGTTATTTCATTAATACAAATTAATGTATAAAATACTTTTATAACTATCTATCAATTTAAATTAGTAAAATAGAATATCAAATAATTTTTAAAATATTATAAACTTAATTTATAAATTAAAAAATTTTAATTTAACAATTGATCATTAAAATTTAATATAAAATATAAATTATTAAATAAAATAAATTTAAATAGACTTAGTATACACACAAAAGGTTCATTATGATAACAAATTTGATAGGATTGAAGTTTGAATTTTTTTCAAATTAGAGTTGTTGAATCTTTGCTTTATTCCATCACATACACTACATAATAGAAGTTATTACACATTTGTTTAGTTCATCAAAACCAAGTCACTCATCTCAAATATCTTCATCAATCTTTGTCTAAAAATCATGTATTAATATCCTCCCATCATTACCTATGTACAACCAATCATCTACATACAAATATAAAGAAACAATGAGTTTGTTATTAACTTGAATCTCAATATATAATATATTGATTTGCACTAGCTATTCCTAAAGCCTTAAGACAATAAATATCCATTATTATGACTATGACATGCTCATGATGCTAGCTTGTTTAATTTTGTATACATTTCACTTACAACTTCAGGATTTTATATTGTTAACTTTTAGTTTCGAACCCCTGTCATTCTTCAATTCTAAGTTGAGATCGCGTTTATTATTTATTCATTTTTTTAGTTGCAAGAAATAAATTAGAGCCTAGAAAATATTTAGATGACTCATAAGAGCAAGACTCTCATTATAGTTAATACCTATAATTGTGAGCAGCAATTAGCCATTACCATTGTTTATGCTTCTAAAGTCTACTAAAAAAGATTTGTTTACAAAGTAATTTAAATTTTATGATGTTTGAATATTTTTTTTCCTTTGTGGGTTTATTTTAAGGTTGCTTCAATTCTTTCTAGCTCTACTACACACAGTGAATTTCATAACTCAAACACTATGTTAATGCTCTTGTTTGAATTGATAAAAATAATCACTATAAAGGAGTTAAATCGCGATACTTTAACTTTTTCCTATTAAATAATTAATTTTTTTAATGTGCTTTAATATTTATTTTGTAATATAATCTAAACATAATTATTTCTAGAAAAAGACACATGTAACTTTTACATAAAATTTAGTTATCCAGTGATCAAAATGATTTTTATCATATAATCATTAGATAAAAAAAATTCACCAAAATATAGTAGCAAATTTACTTGACAAACTAATTCTTATATGTTTCACTTTGAAATAATCTTTTCTTATTAACTAAGTTAGTTATAGTAGGAAACAAATTTATCTCATACAACTTGTTTTTACTCATTTTTATAGATAAATGGACCATTAGTTTAACATGGTAATAAATATTGTGTATTATATTTATGTTGATGATTTAATTATAAGTTTCATTTTTCTATAATTGCTCCATCGTTTAATGATATTGATTTTTTGATTTATTAAGGCCCGAACAATCAATGAGTATACAAATGCATCAAGTAGCTCCTGCTAATGCAAACAAGGTCACCATACAACCTGACAAAACAACAATTGCTGAATCTTCATTTATAAGGTGATGAGAATTTACTTCAAGTTATACATGATTTTGTATAGTTTGAAAACTTCCTAAGTAGACATGTTTGTTCGGAACTTTGGATTGATTTGACTTTATGTTGACATATCATGTACTTAAGAAAATATACTCAACTTGGTCCACTTAAAATACTTGTTTTTTTACACTTGAAATCTTACGTATAACCTAAGTCTATTTATGAAGAATATTTCTTTAAAAATCATATTGAATAATTATTTCATTCTCATTAACCAATTCATTCCCATTGTCAAATGAATGTCTACTTAAGTTTATCTCTAGTTCAATAAGTTAAGCTGTAAGACAAATTATTAGTATGAGTTTGATTTGTTATAATGTGTTCTACCTTTTTTCTATTTATTTATCTCTTTCCCTTTGTTAGATCTAGTTAATGACAAAAGTAAGATAACTTCGGTTGAAATAAAAAGTCTAGGCTTCAAGACTTCATGTTCTTGTAATTTATATTGTTGAATCATGCACAGGGCTCCTCCAAATTCAATTATCAACAACCACAATGCTACACCAATGGTTTTGTCAATTGGTCCATCTAATGTTATTTTTCCTCAGCAAAATCAAAGACTAAACTTGCAAATTGGAAGGGTAAAAATTTCTAAATCACTTTTTATCTTTTTTAAGCCTTTGATGATAACATGCAATCACTGTTAAAATAATCGAGTATGGATTTTGACACATGAAACATGAATTATGGAACATGAAAAGGAGGTGACTAAAGAAGATCCTAACTTAGTCGCAAGGAATTTCATAGAGCTAAAAGCCCATATTCATATATATACATGACAAGGAAATTTTATTTTGAAATACTACTTTTGGTTAGAAAAATAAGAATGAAAATTATAAGTGCAACTTGTATCGTAGGGACAACAAGAACAACCATGGGAAAATCGACAACTTCAAATTGGACAAAGTTCATCTTCTAAAGATCAAGAGGTACCTAATGTTGTTTTTCATTTGTGAGTGGAACCATATTATGACCAAGAGTAGCCATAACATCACAAAGATTTTTTTAAAATTTTAGGGCAACTAAAATAAGTATAGTCAATTATTTACTAAAACAAATTATTCCCACATCAAAATATTTAGACCTTTCTTTAATATTGATAGCTAGATTCTATTTTCTATGAAATGTTAATGTGAAAAAAATTACTGTTATCCAAATAGAATTATGGTAGGTATAATTTTTAATGTAGTTATTGGAAAACTTAACAAATTTACTATGCATGACAATTTGCTATTGGGTAACACAGTTATTTTAGTTTTTTTACTAATCTCTTAGCTTGTTTACCCTAATAAATATTTTCAAATTCCTTGCACGCATCTTTTGACTTTTATTGCTTCATTTTCCTATTGTTAAAATTGTTTTTAGTGGTTGTTAATTAATTAATAGCAGTTGGATGATTAATTAGTTAATTAGACTAGTTAACTAGTTGATTAGTTACTAAAAGGTTGTGTAGATAGAACATGTATGATTTATCTTTTTTCTCGTTTTAATTAAATGATTTTTCTCTCATTTTTCATTTTTTTTTTGGGCTTAATTGTGAATGTTAAACAATTGTAGTATGAAGTATTAACTCAGGATAATGTTTTAAGGTTTTCAATTTGGTTTCCTTTTGTTGTTGCAGATCAATAATTTACCATTGGGCCAAAGAGTTGACATTGGTCTTGCTCTCCGACAACCAAACAATGCACTTGAGAATGCAAGGATTCAAAATCTTGGCAATAATATCAATGTTAATCCCTATCTTGAGCAAAATCAATATTCAAGGTATTGTTCTCGATCTATATGCACATAATTTTCATCTTCTCTTTCTTGCAATAACTTGTGGATATAATTGTCATGTCATGTTTTTGTGAGTTTCAGCAATGCTCTCTATGACTCTTTGTTTGAGATTTGTGGTCATGCAGTTGACCCCCACATTAGAATGTTTCTACAATCGACCGGTAATAATATGCTCAAATTCATAGTAGTGCATTCACTTTTTATTGTGAGATAAAGAAAATTTACAATGTTTCATGCAAGGATTACTTGCATTTTAAGCCAAAAATCTTCAAGCTTTTGATGAGAATCTTGTTCTTAATGCAGATCCAGAAATACAAAGGTATCTCAAGTTCGATTGAAAAGTGTGTGGACTTCTAATGCCAACTCTTTTTTAATCCTTTTTTTTATTATCGTTGTTTAATAAAATTCTAAAATAAGGGCTTGTTTTTGTGCTTACATTAAGAGTGCACTAGATGAGACCTATCTTACCGTTTATGTCTGGTATAATCTTACTCATATTGGTACTATTACTTGCATGAATATATAACCTATTTATCCCATTTTAAATTACATATGGTTTTAGTTTATGAAAGTATGTTATCTTTAAAAAAGGAAATTTGGCTTATATTTCAATGATTTTGTAGACTAGATGACTAAATAACTTGGAACATATTTCAAATATATATAAACTAGATAGTAGAAAAATGAGGAGTGATTATATATGAATAATTGTTATGTTCCAAACTTTTCCAAAACTAAAAATGAGAAACATAAACGCCATCCTAAAGCTTGACAAATTGTATTAGTCCAATTATTTTATATAATTCCATTTTTCTTATAGAAACTATGAATCTATCATGCTATTCATTGAATTTTTTAGCAATTAATTGACAACTATTTTGCTCATTAGCATCGGTTCCATACCTCCAACAAGTTTTGTAATTTTTTGTCTCATTTCACAGCATATATTTTTTTTTATGAGAATATATTTATTTCACTATGATTTATAAGAATATATAATAACGATCGGTGCGCTGCGTGAGGACATAAATTGTTTTTTGAAAGGCCAAAGAAGATAAATTTATTAAATGAAATCAAATCATGATACAAGTACTACCAAAATGGGTTTTAAAGAGAGCAAGAGAATGAAAAGAAAAAAGAAAACTCTTAACCAAAATATGCAACCATAATATATCCATCAAATAGGAGCTACTTGAAATTAAATTAGTCTTTAATTTAGAAGTTGTGGATGTTTAATCATACTTCCTAAATATTTTATTAGTTACTTCAAATAGAGTGATGTATAATATTTAATTATGTTTGAAGTTTGGTGTCATGAATGCATACCTTATAGTAATAAACTATAATTTAATCATTAGTTTGATGACTTATCCATCCTATTCTTATCACTTATTAATAGAAGTAAGCAATAATTCTAACATCCCTTTGTGACAGGTTGTTCATTTTTATTATTCTATCCAAATAGTTGTTAATGTTAATTGTTTGATGCATTATTATATTTTTTTTGGTTAGTGTTGTTTGGAAAATGATTATGTCATTTGTTAGTGTTATTTGAAACATGTATTTTATAACTCAAACTTATTATGTATTTTTTTTTCTTTTGTGTTTTTCATTTTTCAAAAATTTAAAATATTTTAATATTTTAATCAATAAACCTGATTAAACTCAAATTGGTTTAAAAAAAAAAAAAAAGCAAACCTAACACTTAACCATGATATTCAAGTGAAGGTGCACTCATGTTGTTTACAAGTTGTATATAATGAAAAAAAATGTGGCACTTATAAGAAACGTTAAATTATATATATATATATAT